TATAGTAAAATAATAAAAGAAATTAAGCACAAAATTCCTTCACTTTCTCCTACATTTTGACTCAAAAGTTTATTCTAAAATATTTTAGTAACTACGTAAGTTACTGAACTTTAAATGTTAAAGTAGTAAAGATAAATTAATTCTTAGACTGACATTAACCTGTTATAATTTTAAAGTTAATATTTGTGCGAGTATAGGGTAGACGCTTACGTGGGTAGACTGGGGTTGAGTTGGCTAAAACTAATAACTTGATATGTTATAGCCAAACTAGGAACCTCTCTAAATTATTCAGTGAATACTCACTGACTGAACTACAAGCAGCAAGCTACTTTGATAAGGTATAGACAAACTGTGGACCGCTGTAAATTATTTAGTTAAGAATACCAGATTAACGGGGTTGCTTCTAGAGAACTGAGTAAATTTAAGATGGAGAATATATTCAAATGTTTGGCAATTTAAGTGTTTTATGGTAGGAAACAAGTAATCATATGACAATAAACGCTATGAACCTAAACCTACTTCATGATAGAACACTTTCTTGACAAGTTCTGTTGATAATCTGGTATTCAGAGTTAAAGTTTTAAGAGGCAAGTTATTCATTTTCTCTCAACCTGATTCAGAATGAATACATCTGACTGCGTTTACGAGAACCATAAGTTACACATACAAACGAATATAATACTAGGATGGAAGAAGAAAACTCACGATGTTTCCCTGAAATGATTTATAAAATTAAGTTGAGAAGCAATTATCTAAAAAAGAATCAAATATAATAAAAGTTATTGTTCAGCATCAGTTAGTTAGTCAGGCTTCCTTATGTTTTGCATGAGAATGATAAAAATGTTGAACTAAAGGCTATTACTAATAACATCTGATAAAAACAATTTCCAGCTATATAAATCAGTAATTAAAGGTAACTTGTAAATTACTGAATTGCATATAACAAACTGTCTGAAAATATACTTAATGTCATAAATTAATACACAATAAAACTGTAATTTACAATGATTATAACATATTGATTGGTCAGTTGAGTAACCTCATCTTAACATGAATAACATTTGAAGACGTTCTACTAGTTTTGGAGATTTAGGTTACGAACTTTTTCTCTGCCTTCTGGAATTATTTACAATATTTAACAAATTAATATCGATTTTTTTTCTTTTACAGTTTTTAAAGTATGTTAAATGGCCTGAAGTTTAGAAAAATTGCATCCTTATTGAAAATAACAGCATTTTATAACAGTGATAAATCCTAAGAAGATATGTAGAAATTTAAACACTCAGACCGTTTATAACAAGGAAGAAATACAGAAGTATCATCCAGTTTACACCAAATGACACACTTTAATACTCTTCTGTATGGATACTGATTTTTTCATCTAAATCCTTGCCATGGCTTTATGGACTCAAATGATGGCATGTGCAGGGCCTTGAGGGAATATCCTAAGTATGCTCAAACACGATCTATATAAGGTGAGTTCTGTTTTATTTATTTCTCATTGGAGTTTGAGATAGATAACCATCTACAACACCCATTTATCTGTTTAGTGTTAGGTCCAACAGGAAATGGTAAATCAGTTTTAAGAAAAGTTTTAATTTATCATCATTAAGTTATTTATCCTATTATCCTATTCTTGAAAACATCATATAGTTTTATGGATAATTTCAACCACTGTATACTAAATTAATGCAAAATATTCCTACCTTTCAATTTTTCGAAGGATTGCACAATTATTACAATCTGATAAACCGAATTTTTTTTTTATAATTGAAGATCTTACGAGTGAAAGTGAAAAAAAAATAAACGAGTGTCTCAATTTTTTTACATGTGGAAGTCACCATTTGAATTTATGAGTATTTTATATTCTACAGAATCTATTTCATCAGAGTAGAGAAATTCGTAATATTAGTTTAAATTATCAATACATTATTTTACAGAAGAATGTCAGAGACAAGTTTCAGTTGAATGTTTTAGTGAGACAAATGTTTCCAGCAGATGCCAAATATTTTGAAGAAGCTTATCAAGATGCAATGAGACACCGAAATGGTTACTTACTCGTCTATTTGAAACCACAAACGAACGTCTGAACAGTTGTGCCTGAGGACAGGTCTGTTTCCTGAAGATAACGTAAGTTAAAATTGTTGTTTAACTGAATAGACACTCATATATTATCATGACTATGGCCATGATAGAACTTCAAGGATTTTATCTGAAAGACGGACCATATATTATTAAAGAACTAACATTAAAATGTTTAGATACTGGATATATATGTGTGTGTTTTTGTTTAAATAATCATTTTCGAGTGAATATCTTTCATATACAGATCGTCGTCAGTGCAAATGGGTGATATGATACATTCATTCATCACATCCCATGGAAAATGGTAATGTCGACTGTCCCTACCTGTGGAGTGTGGCTAGATTGTTATCCCTAATATCCCTAATAGTTATCCCTAATAACTTTACCAACATTTTGACAAAGGGAAGAGAGAAATCCGAGATATTGATAACTCTACTGAAAATTCCTTGTTATAATCTGGAATTGGTTGGATGTCCCAAGGTTAATCAACTTCCAAAATCGGCTCTGTCCTGTCCATTTCTTATTAAAAATTATCATCACTGTAGTATAAAAAAGTAGATGTTATATCTAATTGGATGTATAAATAAACAATTTTTATATGTACTTACAATTTTTTTCGTTTATTTATCATATACATATATATATATAAATATACATATATATTTATAGTAACATTAGCTTTTCTAACTTCACTGGAATTACTACCATGGCTCTAGACGTTGTAGAAATAAAGTTAAATAAGTTAATTAACTTTAAAGAAAATAAAGTATATTTAATTGAATGTAGTTATTCATACAAACTGTTT